AAATGCATCAAATCAGAGGCAAGTTTAAAAAAAATGTTTCCGTTAAAACCTGCAATGTGTATACAATTCTAAGTCGCTATAGTATTTTTTAAACAAGGAAGTACGAAAATATTAACTCACACTGTTTGCGTTGTTAAAATAACATTGAAAAGCTAACTAAAAAAGTACGCGACCAGAATTTTATCGTTAGGTAAAGGTATCGCAAAAAAATTAAATTGCGTAATTGCTTTCACAGATTCACGTGGGTTTACTAGGGCGTAGGTATAACGTAGAAAAAAATTATAAACTATTCACAGAGGCCACAACAAGGAATTTTTCAGTACGATCCCGCAATTCTGACGTCAGGAGTCTATTGGAATTCAGTGGAATATGGAATATACCAAGAATAAGTTAATTCCCATAACTGGATTCAAACTATAACCAAAATAAAATAAATGAAAATTAGACAGACTTTCAATGTCATTGTCATTAAAATTTGAATTTGAGCAGAAAACAGTGTTCTGACTGTTTAATAAATTATGTAGAACCTTTTGCTGAATTTCCTGTCACTTACTGTACGTTTTGGGAGACAAAACACGTGATAATAACTCGGTGCTAAGTCTGATGAATACGTAGGATGTGGTTGGATAAACCATAATCGGTAATTCGGTAATTTTTCTGATGTCGGATAAACGGTGCGTGATCTCGTATTATATTACTGCCAGCTTGCGAGAACACACTAGAATCAGAATTAAGCAAAGCTACAAGGTTTGATGTGCAATTGCATTTTTGTTTGTTGTTGCATTTGCATTAAAGTGGTTGAAAGGGATAGAGAGAACAAATACTGCGACTTATCTGCACGAAGGCTGTGGTTTTCGCGAATAGGTGACATAGGTGAGGGGACTGTTATTTTAAAACAGACCAAACTTGTATTACTACACAAATCAGTTATCCAACAATGTAGTGTAGTGGTGGTAGATGACAAAAGTGGAACATTTCAAATGGTTTCAAAAGCCATTCTGTTGACATTGTGTTCTTGGCTGTTATAATTAATTTTCCAGAAACTGAACATTTACAATCCTAAAAGAGTTTGAGCGTTATACTCGTATTAAGGTTACTTTTAAAATATCTGGTACCATTTCTGAGACATAAACTGTTGAAATGGGTTGATATGTTTGCAATTTGGTAGTGAAGTTATATTTTAGTTTGACCAAAACATGTCTTCTCTAATGAGTCAACAGCTTGATGAAAATTTAAGAAAAAGAAATCCATCTCTTCACAAGATAAATTCATTGAAAAAACGAATTTCAAATTTCAGCATTCTGTATTTCAGAAATGGGGTATTCTTTTCTTAAAATGACTTGAGAATCAGTCCTTTCAATAATTTAGAATATCCTGCGAAACGGTCATTTGAGAAACGTTATTAAAATAAGTCCCATTTTATAACCGCGGCAGGTACTGTCTCTCATTTAATGAAAATGTAAATGTATGTATAGGTTCTTGTGGAAACGGCAATCAATCTATAAGGATCAGTTTATCAGCTAATCAGAACCTTTTAAGACGACTACGAGTAACTATGACTGTTTCTGACATTTTGATAGCTTTTTCTGTAGAGAAAATAAGGAAACTGAATCGCTGAAGGTTTTAGTCTTTTATCTGCAGTAGACACTCTTGAGAGATAAATATTTTTATGCAAAATCTTATAACTTTACAGTATTTTTTCTAATGGAAACCATATAGAATTTTTTAATGTAAATTTGCCTGGAAAGGAGCTTCTAAAAATGTTCTATATTAAGAAAAAAATTGTTCTGGAGCCAGTAATTGAAGACAAATTATTGTATTCTTTACAAGCAACCCACAAAGTTTGGACTTGGATTTGGAACATTAATTTTGTCGTAGAATGTATGCAAATTAAAAAATAATTTATTTATTTATTTTTAAATAATTTGTTGATAGGTTATACCTACGCAAATAAAAAACAACTTTGGTAATGGTAACAAACTTTTAGCGATCTTTCTAAATTTTCTAAATTTCTTTAGTTTCGTTCCTTAGTAACGAAACTAAACGTATTGTGACTATAAATTTTCAGCAAACTGTGGAGGAGCAAGGATTGCAATATGGTTTTAATGTAGGCTTAATCGATCGCTGCCTTGTCTGGAATTACGAACAGTTGGGTTTACAGTTGCTAACTAATAAATAGTATTGATTTGTGAAGACTTGCCACTAAACATAGCTTGGCGTTCCTTACAAGGCGCAGACGTTTTAAAACTCTTTCTGTTTATTTAATATAAAGGGTGTTCCAAATTTTCCGCAAGGAGTAAATTTAATATTAAATAAAAATTGTAAATTTTTTAATGATTCATGACGTGTACATGTTATGTACGGAACAATATATCGGGTAAATGGTCTCCACGGTTTTGCTGGTACATACGCATTGTTTTGTGGAAATTTTCCAAGGCTGTTTTGCATAAATACGACTAAATTACGGTGATACAGTGTTCAATTTCCTCCTTCAAGGCGTTGGTGGTTGGAGCCTTATTGACATAAAACCCAGAGAAAAAAGTTCAACGGCTTTAAATTGCATGATTTGGGCGGCCAACACCAAAACGGGAAATTACACTATCAGGAAGTGACTCAATCAATAATTGAATTGTTTCTCGGACTGCATGGCATGTGGCACTGTTTTGTTGAAACCACATGTCGTCTACATCCATATCTTGCAATTTAGGCACAAAAAAACGGATTATCATATCACGATAGCGAGCACCATTAACTGTTATTGCCTGACCAGCCGCATTTTCGAAGAAGAAAGGTCCGATGATGCCTCCAGCCCAAAATCCGCACCAAACAGGGACAAGTGTGGGATGTGTTTCTCAACAATCACTGGTCGATTTTCTGAACCCCAAATGCGACAATTTTGTAAATTAACCAAACCATTAAGATGAAAATGAGCCTCTTCGCTGAAGATGATTTTGTTCGAAAAATCAGCACCCACTTGTTCCATAATCCATTCAATGAACTCTCTCCGTTCTGCGTNACAATCCGCACCAAACAGGGACAAGTGTGGGATGTATTTGTTTCTCAACAATCACTGGTCGATTTTCTGAACCCCAAATGCGACAATTTTGTAAATTAACCAAACCATTAAGATGAAAATGAGCCTCTTCGCTGAAGATGATTTTGTTCGAAAAATCAGCACCCACTTGTTCCATAATCCATTCAATGAACTCTCCGCTCTGCGTGGTCAGTAGACTTCAGTTATTGAGTCAATTGAACTATATAGGCATGAAGAATCGAATCATTCGTGGCAATACGCTGCAGACAACTTCTGCAAATGGCCAATTCTTGACCACGGTACCGAATTGAACGACTTGTTGAAGGCCAGAGTGTTTAAGATCACTAATTTCTAGTTTCCCTGAATTTTGCAATTAATCTCTTCACAGTTGATGAAGTTAAATCACTATTCCAACCATATTTTGTACGAAAAATGGTGAACTGTACCTGCCTGCTAAACCTCCATTAATTTCAAAATATTGCTCAACAATGAAAATCGTTGTTTTCTCGTGTTGCGCTCCATTTTCAATAACCCTGAACTGTCAACTGCCACGCTGTCTTTTTTGGACACCCTTTAGCAGCCTACATTAAAGTTATATAAAAAAATATTTTATTATTAAACTTTCCGCCAGAAGCAAATGGGTAGCTTCCTTGGATGAAAATAAACCGATCAACTTAATTTTTAATACAATTTTGTTTTTTTAAGAAACTACGGCCTCCAATAACCTGTTTTATTATTTTAAGATAAGTCTTACTTTTCTTTTAGATATTTCAATGAATTCCACATAGTTTTTGTCATTTATAGTACTTGGGGTAGATAATAACCATAAAAAAATTAATAATTAAGGTAATAAATTGTTAATTTTTTTTTATCTGGTTAGGTCTTCAAGAAAAGATTAGTATAGTAGAAACCTATAGGTACGCTCCTAATACATATTTTCACAGTTATGGAAAATATTCATGTCAAGTAATAACAACATGTGAAAACAAGAAACAAAATTATGACATTAAATATCCAAATAATTAACCCATCTGGAGCACTTACGAAATAGTTTATAAGGACAAGCTTCAAATTAGAGAGGATTTAGAAAATAAAATTAGGTAGACATGTTATGAAATTGCGAGAAATAAGAAAAATAATAAAAATGTTGAAAAATGCATAGAAAACGAGAAGTTGGTGAATTGAAATAAAAAGAATTATTTAGTTGTCTAATGTTTATTTTCTTTGTTTTATTGCCATGTATATTTTGCTGTCAATATCTTCAGTAACTGAAACTTTAAGGAGCAGATAAATTATTACCAACAAAAAAATTGTCTGAGAATTGAAAGTTTAATAAAAGATAAAATGTCAAACGAAAAGTTTATCTAAATGTAACAATTTCGAAGCTAAAGGTTATGAAAAAGTAAAGAAAAACGTAAATGTTCGGTTATCCAGAGCTCGAACACTTATAAATTTGCTCAAAAGAGAGAGGTCTCCGAAGGTGTCAAATTAGAATGAAGTATTAACTTTTAGATGAAAAAAAATCGGTGTCATTTATTTTTTTTGCAGGTAATTATTTCGAACCCAAAACGTTTCAATTTCAAACAAGAGAAATATAAAGGTAGCTCACTGAAAAGTAAAACTATTTAATAGAGGTTTTGCAATGTATTATATAATTTTGATGAACTTAATCATAAAGAAACGGATTGGTACTTACACAATTAAAAATAGAAAATCAGTACATTTTAAGTAAAGATACAAAATTTATCTTTCACGTCTGCAAACAAGAGAACGTCAAAATAGGCAGAGATAATTACTTTTTTTCTTTAAGGATTGGTAAAAAATGTTATGATTATGTTAGATTTCCGAAATGAAGTGAAACGGTTAAGGTTGAAGAATTGTTTCATAATTTCTGCAAGTGATTTTACTTTCATCATTATGCAGTTTCATTGGGGAATATAATATTGGGCCACATTGAAATACCCACCTTAAATTTATCAATGAGTATTTGGTTGAGAAGATCCGAATGTGGCCGGGTTCCTTTTCCAAGCGGTGGTCGCCTTCTGATAGCTGGGGGATTGTCGAATTCGTCACCTGGTGGGTCTGTGTCGTGCGATTCGGAACTGTCACCTGCACCCCCACAGCTGGGCACCATCTGTAAGGTGACTGTATTTGAAGACGATATGCCGTGGATATTTATTTTGGAAACGAGGGTGTAACAAGGGAAGTGGCATTTTTTTTTAATACAGGTCAGAATTTTCTAACTCTTAACTGGAATACAGGATGTCGTTGTGTTCCCCACAGGATAAATAAGTATTTGTTGTTGCCTTTTTTAAAATATTTAGTTTAATTTATATCCACCTCGTTTACCAACATCAACACATCTGAAATACTTCATCTGATCTGATATGCTTGAACATTTTTCACTATGTATCTTAAGAAATAGAAAGAGACAAGTACAAAGTGAATCATAATAAAATCTAATTGAAAAAAAAAAAACGATTTATTCAGTAATTCTGTTTGGACGAATTGTATACTGCTGTATTAGTGAACGAATATTCAATATTCAATTTAATTTGTCATTGCGAACAAAAATGTTGCGTTCGTTTGCAATTTTTCTGTTTATTGAGTAAATTAATACACTTGTGTGTACGAATATCCAATATTCGGGCAACTTTACGCATATACAGGGTGGTTCATTACAAAAAATTATGAGATGTACAATGGATAGTTGGATGGACACCTGGATGCCTGGTACACTTGGACAAGCTGTACATGATAGGGATACATTTGAGACTTGTGTAATATGCGCCACACTATTAATTGAGACACACCAAGCACCTCGGATTGAATGAGTTGCTTTTACTTATACGGGGATTTTCTTTCATAATACTAAAATATGTGTTCCTCTCCTGCTACAATATGATGCGGATGCCTGAGATTTTTTTGACGATTCACGCCATTATTGGACCACCGACCAAAGGTAAACCGAGAAGATTGACTTGCTTCGTCATAAATTAAAACATCATCAGTTCTGTGTTGCTTCACATATAGGCCATTTTAAACGCTTGTAAGACTGATATAAACAGCAAATCACGGTAATAAAAGCGCTATAAAAACTACAGTAATACTGACTACACTTATTGATTCCATTGCAACCTTGACTTTATCCATTGTGAAGAAGTAGTAAGTAAACTAAAAGGTAAAAAATATAAGGCGACTAGAATTTTATGTGTGTACACTCAGCTTGACCAATCCGCGAGAATAATTTCTTTTATAAACATTTCATACTTTTGAATGGATTGCCATCGGTACAAAAATTGATATTGTTTGACTTCAAAAATTTGATTAATTCCGTTTCCATTAAGAAAAAATAAAACGCTGCAGACTTAAAATATGGTAAAGTTCAGTTTAGTATAATATTTCTTATTTATCCTGTTGAAAGAAAGCAACCACATATAGGGAAGAAACAATGCGATAACTGGAAGAATATAATCATATTGGAAAGGGTTGATAAATGTAATCGTGTATGTTTGTGGTTTTAATGTGTGTACCATTTTATTTTCTTACAGAGGGAAAAATAATAAATTATTTTAAATAACATATTTCTGATTACTCATTCATGACTACTAAGCGGATGATGCATTTATATGTGTAAATTGGAGGCTTAATTTCTTTAACAACGGAAAAAATACAAATGGATTTGAACTACGAATAAATAATTCAACTATTATAATGTAAAATAGCCTAAGCTATTGTAAATATCAATTTATTTTAGTTGCACAACATAGTAACTATTGAAATGAAAATATTGAAGCATAGCAAATAAAGTCAATAAAATGGTATAAACTTAAAATAACTAATGATTTAGGTACTTCAGACTGCCTTTTTAGAAATGTTACTTACATTTTTATAGGTTGTAATTACGCGTTCTCTATGACCATTGAGTTTTTTTAAAGAAATTATTAACATGCGGTATTATTAGATTTTGTTTTATTCTGAGGTTTAAAAAGGGGAATTTAATTTTATATTGTTACATTTAAAAGTTTTATGTCAGTAAGGTAGATTTAAAAAAGGCAGCCTATAAATTCAATGATACGGTAATCACTAAGGTATGTACGTAGGTGAGAAAACAAATACTCGATAAAAGAAATAAATAAGTGTTAGACAAATATCTTACCAAGCTAGTCTAGCGGCCGCCTATTAAAAATGTTACAAAAATTAGTGTGGTGTTTAACTTAAAATTAAAATTTAATTTACACTGTGTGTGCCTACCTACCATGGGGTAAACAAGCGGCTGTGAATTAGTGTGTAGAATACTATAGCTAAAAAAATATATGAAGAATAATTTTCGCAAGAACATATTTAAGGAAAAATACATGTTTTAAGATATACGTAGAGCTAAATCATACTGTTTATGATACTAATAAATAATTTATTTTCCAAATATACAAATATTATAAAATTTATCTACACAAAATTTGACTTCCGTGATGTTTTTTTTTTTCATTGCCTTAGCGAAATGATTTGACGTCATCATCATTTTATTCAATATTTTAATAAAATCTCATTTGAAAACCATCTACAATATACAGTGTGTCCAGTTATTCAGGTTAACACCTCTAGAAATGTGAGAAGGCTGTGGACTTTCCGCAAGCAGATTTTTTTACAATTAGTCCTCTGATATTCTACTAACCATTTTATTGATGTGACAAAACTTGGCCTACTACCAAAACAAAAAAATCGTTTTTCCAGAAAGTGGTATTAGGCATTTTTTAACCATAAGGTAATATTATCAGGCTATTTAACACCCATCAAAATACCCATATACCTTTAATCGACAAATGACTATTGAGTGTTTATTTTATGGGGTACCAAACTTCGAAAAATTAGGCTACTAAAAATTATAATAAGCAGGTCAAAGACTGTCATGAAAGTGGAATTAAATACAAATCGGACAAAAAAATACAGACAATATAAAAACACTTGTATTTACAGCCACAGTAAAAATAATAATTAACGTACCAAAAATGTAGGTAATGAATAAATACTAAGTTGTTGAACAAAAAATTGCAAAGCGTTAATCTAAATTAAGTTTTAGTAATAATATTATGTTTTTGGTAACAAAAATGCCTAATACCACTCTCTGGAAAACGACCCTTTTAAAAAATCGTAATAAGCCAGGCTTTTGTCACAGCAATAAACTGGTTAGTAGAATATAAGCTACTTTCAGGTTACTAATTGTAAAAAAATTAGCTTGCGGAAAGTCCATAACATTCTCACATTTCTAGAGTTGTTAACCAGAAAAACGGAAAACACTGTACAGGGTGATTCACTTTATTTTGACCCCCCTTTAACTTTTTTATTTTAAGAGTTATAAAAAAATGTAAAATACAAAAGTTGCACGATTTTATTTTTTATGAAGTTTGCGAAAATGATGAATGCGAAAACAAATGAAGTCCAAACAAAATGGCCGCGGATGTTAACTTTGTTAATTTAAATGGAACACCCTGTATATTTTTACATATTTGGATAGAACGTTCCTTGTCGATCATAGCCATATAGGGTTTGTTGGGTCCATCTCTAACAATAAGTGAGATAATATTAAAAACAAAAAGATGTTTTTTTATTAAGAAAAAAGGCATCTTGTAATTGTTAGACCTCGTTCAGGCATTTCTGCCTTTTTTCCAATTACGTAAGAATTTAGATTTAGTTGTAATATATTTTGACATATCGGACATTGATATAGTCCAAAATGCGTATAGGTATTTTAACTAAATCTCACTAATTAGACCGTGTGCGGCTAATTACTCATGGACAATGTTATATGGTAGGTCGTGACAGTGACAGGTAGTAATGTCATGATAACATTGTTATTGTTTAACAGTTTGTATTATTATTTAATTAAAATGGGTAACACAGAAGTAGAAAATTGAAATATTATTAGGAATTAAAATAAAATATGGAGATGAATATCTTAACTACTCTATCTTAATTCCTATAATATTTAAATTTCCTTCTTCCGTGTAACCCATTTTAATTAAATAATAATACAAACTGTCAAACAATAACAATGTTGTCATAATATTACCTGTCATTGTCACGGCCTACCATATAACATTGCCCATGAGTAAATAGGCCTCTCACGGCCTAATTAGTGAGATTTAGTTAAAATACTTATACCCGTTTTGGACTATATCAATGTTCGATATGTCAAAATATATTACAAATAAATCTAAATCCTTACGTAATTGGAAAAAAGGCTGAAATACATCAAAGACGTCCAACAATTACAAAATATCTTATTTTCTTAATAAAAAAACCTTTTTTTCGTTTTTTAATATTATCTCGCTTATTGTTAGAGATGGAACCAATAAACTATATATGACTGTGCTCGGCAGGGAACGATATATCCAAATATGTAAAAATATATAGGGTGTTCCATTTAAATTAACAAAGTTAACATCCGCGGTCATTTTGTTTGGACTTCATTTGTTTTTCTAATATCATTTTCGAAAACTTCATAAAAAATCGTGCAACTTTTGTATTTCACATTTTTTTATAACTCTTAAAAAAAAAAGCTAAAGGGGGGGGTCAAAATATAGTGAATCACCCTGTACATATAAGAAATTTTTTACATACTGATTATGTAACTATTAAGTACAAAGTAATTGCAGTTTAGCTGCATTTCTATATTTCAAACAAGTTTTAAATAGTGGGGTGACGTAAAAATACTCAATAGAGTCATGCTCGTACAAGTTTTCCGCTGGTCATAGGCGCCGACAGTCAACAGCGCCTAGCTGGCGGTTTAGTCGTCTGTAATCGAACGATTATTATTATTATAATTATTAATTTCTTTTACGATTATACAATTAGTTGACTTTTGGTGCATAATCTTATGTTGAGCGAAAGTAGTGGTAAAAAACTGTAATTAATTCATACTATATCAAGACAGAAGAAAACAAATTTAACGTTACACAGCTATAAAATTATTAACAAATAAAAACTATGCAGGTAGAAAACAAAACAGAATAATGAGTTCTAAAAATAAAAATACATATTTAAAAATATTTCTATAATTTTCCTTCTTTCGACGAGTGCACCTTATTAAAATTTTAATCCACCCATTTTTATGTTGTAATAAATATAGTAAGGAACTATGTTATAAAAAGTCCCCGCGAAAATTATTCTTTTGATTAAGATTTTATTATGTAATACATTGCCTCCATTTCGAGGAAATGGTGAATTTGCAGCATGTGTCATAAATAGAAATCGGAAAACTGCTTCCTATACAAAGAAAACCGGGAAAGTAAACAATAAGGAAGTCTTACCTCGATTTGTATGCCGCTGTCTCCGCTGTTGCATTTTGCGTTCCTTGCGGCTTTGTTTAATTTCTTCCTTTCTTTACTGCCACGCCAGATAAGGGGACCGAACCTGGAAAATACGAGAAAAGCATATCAAATACAAGTTCCATGAAAACGCTACGCACTCGTATATACGAACGCACTTTATATTCTCGCAAATTATTTCCGATCTTAAAAATATTAATAAAGTAAGATTGTGTTTCCCAACGTAAGAACACAGTGGATAATTAAATTCAAAGTTAACCTCTTCTAATCATGGGGAAATTGACGGACATAGGCACTAAATTCCCGGAACGAAATTGCTGTGGGTGCGGAGCACCCTCAGCAATTTAACTTTTAAACGCATCAATAAACTGAAAGTGGCATTTTTATTTATAGGCAATAATATTTGTAATTTTTGCATTGCAAAAAATAAATTCTTTTTAATTATATACCTACAAAATGAACAAAAATTTTGAAGAAAAAAGGAGTCTCTAAAAAGTCTAGTCTAGTTTAGCCTTAATATTTATTTCTCCTATGAAAATAATCTACGGTATACAGGCCGTCTTACGGTGATGGCCCATTAGAATATTTCAGACACTACTTCGATTTAAATTTTGAAAATTTCGGCTTTGGGGTTTTCGGGAGTGCTCTTTTTGAGTAAAATAATATGCTATTATTGTAGCACTTCCGGTTATGCCGGAAGTAGCTGTAAACTTCGTTATTTTAAATGCAACACTGCATTAACGACAAAATAAATTAAAAATAAGTAAAAAATGCTAAAGCTTCGTTCTGTAAGCTTTCACTTATTTTTCGGACACACAAAGAACATAAGATACACTACCTTCCGCTACCAAAATCACCTGAAGAAAATTATACCAAGTATAGACATTTTTTACGTTAAATTTTGAGAATTTAAAGCCGATGAAACTTTTTAAATTCAAAAGGAACACCCTGTATTTTTTCGTACCATATTATAGAAAGTCAAATTCTCTCTTCACTGATACACTGTTACAGTTTCGATTTTCTCAGATATTTGCTGTTTTCCTACATTCTCAAGAATATTACGTTAAAAACATTATCAAATGTGCCTTGAAAGGCAAATATTGGTATTGTCATTTAGTATCTTATAGTCCGGTCAATCTAGACATTCAAAGATACATACATTTACAACAAGCTGAAAGTGAGTAAAGTTGTTCAAAACATAATTAAAAATAACATATTAAAATTCCTCATCGTTCCGGTACTCGGAAAAAAATTTACTCGAGGTCAAAGGTAAAAAAATGGGTTTTTCGCGAATTTCAGCTAAACGGTAAGTTTTATCATAAAATTAGCTCTGACAAAAATTGTAGACCATAAAATTATCTATAAAAAATGTATCAATACTTTTTTCCTAAGAGCCACCGTTTCTGAGATATAACGATTCGACCTTGGTCGAACAGCAGTCATAATACTATGGCAAATATTTGTGCATATTAATTTTAAATGATCTAAATTTGATCGTTTATTCTTTAAAATCACTCGTTCCAAAAAAATATGTCAACGACTCTGGGATTTCATTGTTTAAATCTTCAAACATGCGACCTAGTGGAGGGTAGTTATAATTATCAAACACTGCCGATTGAATATTTTCGAGAATGATAGTTGCAGCTGCTTCTAGGATTCTGAATCGTTCTTCTTTTTTATTCATTTTTTTTTCGTACCAGGCTTAATTCAAAATATCATGATGATTGTCTCTTAAGATAATAAGTTTATCACCATACTTAAGTTTTAGTCGTACCTGAATCGTCCTGTAATCTAAAGTTGTAGTTTTGCAAACATTTCTTAGTTCGTTTAAAGTGAACTGACAGTCATCGCTATTTTCAATGTAAGTAAATATTTCCTCCATTGCCAGATTCGTAGCTTCGTATTTAGGACGACCGACTTAACCCCCAGTAGAAGGTTTCAAGAAATAAACATAGCAATCATGATGATACTTAGCTTCAGCAGCAATTAAATCATATTCAAATTCGACTCGAGCAAGAACAGCTTCTGCTATAGCATCGGAACGAGTCCGAGCTACTTCAATGCAACTCATGAAAGTGGGAGATTTTGATAAACCACCCTCACTTAAATGGTTAATCCAAGAGTACGATTCGGTTGAGGAACTATGCAGGGTAGAATCGTTTAATTTGTGGCAAATGAACCCTGCTAGATTTTCTAATCCATCATATGCTAATTCATTTAGTTCCCCAACTGTAACAATATCCTCGTTCATAGGGCTGACTGATGGTTGATCTAGCGGAAAATTACATTTCTTTATTAAAGAGCCGCTAAGTGGTATATGGGGGGTATCGTCAATTTATACGTTTGAAAATTCGGAATACGCTCCCTCACTTCTTCCCATGATTTATGATCTCAATCTATCTTGAAATTCGAGAGGACTAGGATGATCATGGAGGCCATCTTTTGTTCTGATCACACCGAAAAATTTTCAAGAACATCTTGATTCAAGCGCCTGGTTAGTACACAATCAGAGCCAAAACGACACTTCAGGTCATCGAGCAACATTTTTAAAGCGGAATTAGAAATCACGATACTTGTTAAGTCAGGGGAGCGTGGTGGCCATGGAATGGGTCCATCTCTTCCAATCTATGCATTGGGAAACGATGAACTTAAAAATTCCCTTACAGATAAGCGGTAGTGTCCAGGGCATCCGTCATTTTGAAAAATAATAACATTTTCATCATTTTGAAATTGAGGCACGTCTTCTACCAATTGTGGTNTTCTTATACAGGCCTAAACTGCACCAACAGAGCGTTGGAAATGTTCATTCGAACACGTTTTTGGTCTAACGTGAGCAAACGCGGCACCCAACGCGCGGACAGCTTTCTCATGTTTAAATGTTGATTTAATATGTGACAAACACGTTCTTTTGACATGTTCATAACCTTTGCTATCTCTCTCACTTTAATTCGGCGGTTGTCTAGCACCATTTGGTGAACTTTGGCAATGTTTTCGTCGGTAGTTGCAGTTTTTCGACGTCCCGAATGTTCATCGTCTCCAAAGCTCTTACGGCCACGTTTAATTCAGCTGCCCAAAATTTCACTGTGGTAAATGATGGTGCAGAGTCCCCATACACAGAATCCAACTCATCTTTGATTTGAGTAGGCGTATTGCATTTCAAAAACAAATTTTTAATGACAGCTCGATACTCGATTTTGTCCATTTTCATAAAAACACTCACATCAACTCACTCAAACGACTGTTACATAACAACTGTGCGTCCAAAATGGCTGAAACTTTGGTGAGTAATTGTCAACAGATGAATAACGAAATTCACTAGCTTTTATTTACGAGTGCTGCCATCTTCATGTTGAGGTCGGAAACTTTTCAGACCACCCTCGTATTTATAGGGAACTAAAATTTAGGAAGCATGTTCCTAATTCTAAAATGCACCTAAAATTCATGCACCAAAAGCAATTAAGTCATCGCTTATTTCCCAACTATACAAAATTCCATAACTCAATAGAAAGTTGATTTTATCTCTATTAAATATGTAAAAGATACAAAGGAAATCCATTAGACGCGGCATTTTCAAAATAAATGTCTCATTAAAGTTCAGTTGACTGCCTACATACCCTGAATTATACTGCAATGCACGCATCGACTTCATAGTTTCAGAATGCAAGTTGCTGCGCGATTATCAGTGTATAGTAATTTTGCACGGATACCGCCGCGCCGCCGCGCTTCGAAGCAGGAATACGAATTCCGACACGAGTCGAAACTCCAAACGGTTAACGCTGATATGGGGTAGAGATATGCATCTTTACGAGAAGCGCAATTTGATTTAGGAACGCCAACATGGCAGGTTTATTAATTTGGTCATGTTTTCCTGATGATTAGAGATAGACGCATCAATTAAGCGAACAGGATAATGATAATAGACTAGGCGGTATCTGTTTTGGTTTGGGTGAATCGTATATCCACGGAGATTTTTGGCTTTTTGGCTTTCAAATATCACTAGAAATGAAAATTTTTCTATGCGCATAAAAAAAATGTGGGCTTAACTTTTGGCGACACAATATGTTAAAAAGTTCGAAAAATGTCATCTCTTTCTTCCTATTTAATTATGTATCTTTTCAAGAGTTGATTTTAGGCGAAAATGAAAGAGGAAAAAAATGTTTGCAATTAAATTTTTTACAAAATATGTCTAGTTACAAATCGAATGAATCATGATTATTATGGTAAAAATCGAAAAAATCGCAAAAATGGGGTTAAAAAACATTACCTTTTTAGGGAATTTTTTGGGCCATTTAAATTGGGTATAGGACCTCTATACTTGGCTAAAAAAATCTTCATGTTATGTAGAATTATCACACCAAATTTCATCAAAATCGGTTTGATAGATTTTGCATAATAATTTAGCAATCCAGATTTTGAAAAAAAAATTTCAAATTTTCAAAATTTTGCACTGCAAAAACCAAGGCCCTTAGATACTTGAAAATTTAATCACATATAGAAGGGCTCTCAAGCTTTCAAACTTTTTTTGAAAAATCCGAATCCTACAATTAGGAGAGCTCTGGCGCTTGTTTAAACATTGGTCGAATTTTTGTACTTATAAACAATTTGAACTTTGTGAATATTGAATCAAATTAAATTTTTTAAAGCAGGTTTTAAAAATTCTCGGAAAGACGCTTCTTTAAAAAAAAAAACAGAACGATTGATCAATTAGTTACGTAGTTATAGCCGTCATTTATACTAAATGTACTGGGACATCCGGGCTAATTTTTGGTATTCCGAGTACTTACCAAGTCTAAGATTACAATACTTTTCTTCATTGGCAACCTACTTTAAAACGTGTTTAAAGTTATTTATGCAAGCGAGAAATTCAATAAAATCGTACGGGTGGTGGTGGTGAGGGAAGCAGAGAGCGCGGCCGCTTCGGCCTGCTCGAAATTGAATCGGCTATAACTACGTAACTAATTGATCAATCGTTTTTTTTTAAAAGAAGCGTCTTTCCAAAAACTTTTAAAACCTGCTTTAAAAAATTTGATTTGATTGAATATTCACAAACTTCTAATTATTTATAAGTACAAAAAATCGACCTTA